CCCCAAAACCCCAAAACCCCAAAACCCCAAAACCCCTAAATATAAAAATAGATAATGATTTGCAAAAAATATAAAATAATAAATCAGAATTTTAATAATGCACAAAAGTAAAAAATCAGAGGACTCAAAGGCCAATGGTGTGGGAGGCAACTCAAGCAATAATAACCCCTCTTCTAACCGTTATGCTGCGAACCAACAATTAGCGGAGGAGAAATTGCTTTTGAATTCACCACTAATGAATGACATTAAAGACCCACTTGTCAAGCACCAGATTGATTAAGACTTCATTAAGACTATAGCTGCATTTTCCAGAAACCTTGAAGCTGACACACTTTCTCCTGAAATTTAAGTAAGAATTTTCACAACTCAAAATCTGGCCTATTCATTTTGAAAATGTCAACTATTGATAATAAATATTTGAGTATAGAAAATGTTCTTCAAAATTGCTGAGAAAAGGCAAGCGTTACCAGAGAAATGCATGACTAATGTAGTGGATTCATTTTTGGCTTGCTTAGTCTCTCTCATAAGCATGAGTAAAGATCACGATATCACCATTAAGGCAGTTTCGCTATTATTCCAATATCTAAAAAATGGTACTCTAATTATTTCTTTATGTTCTATTAGACTCCAAGGTATTCAGTTGATTCAAGCCCAATAAACTAATCATAAGAAAAATGAAAATAGAGAGCATCATACAATGTAAATGAGACCATAGTTAATTATACTATAGCGAATGTTGACACTGAAGCAGATTTGGCCTTAGATTTCTCTGCATTTTTACTAAGATACAACAAGGATTTATAATATTCAGATTTTTCAGATAACAAAGAAGTCATTAGCAGAATTAAGAGGGCAGAGTCATTCAGATCATGGACAGATATTGAAGATGTTGCTAGTGGTTTTGAAAATCTTAATACAAATTTTGAATAGCATAAAGTGACTGTGTCTAGCGCTTTTTCTGAGCTATCAAGCTACATAGAGAAGTTTAAGAAGGATTTCATACTCAAATACAATGAATAGACTCGGGAGTTCACTGCACTTAAGCAAGAGTTTTAACAGAATAGAGAAGAGATGAGAGAAATTGAGAAGAAAAAGGCAATGGTCACAATGGATGATCTACAAGTACTAAGAAAAATTGTATTTGAGATGAGAGATTAATTTAAAGAGACTGAAGATATTGTTCAATAGAGTATGGTAAGCATAAATATAATATACCTTAATCTATTAGAGCGTTAAAATTGAGCTACATTCAACCAAAATCGAGGATATCACTAATCTCATTAGTAACCTTAACTCTAAATACTCTCAATTCCAGTTCCAAACTACAAAAGTAGAAAGTAACATAAGAGAGCAGCTTGATATTATACAATCCTTAAATCAGAAGATAAATTAGACGAATGATAATTCGAATACTTTAAAGAAGGAGGTGTTGGAAAAGTTTTTGACTCTTGAAAATCACATTAACAATAAAACAAGTGAGCAAAGTGAGGAGTTTACTTCCAAGGGTAAAAGATTACTTGACTTGGCAGATAAAATTGACTTGCAACTCGAAAAGAACTTCTTAGAGTTGCTAGAGCTTAGATAAGATTTTAATACTTTTGCTGATAGCACAAACATCAATCTGAAGGAGATTGATGATAGGTATGCTAAGATAACAGCTGAAAATACTACTAAGATACATGACTTTGAAGGTTTAGTAACTGTAAATTTGGGTTAGCTAGTAAAAGATAATCAAGAAATGAAGCAGCAGTTACTTTTGAATTTAAATAAAGGGAGGGATAAGAGTGAATAGCTACTCATAGATTCCTTTGAGGCCTAGTTAAAGCTAATGAGAGATAGAGTCAACTTAATGGAGTAGGATCTTAAAGAATAAATCGAAAGAAGTGTCAAGCAGGGTATAAATAATCCAGCTAATAAAGCAGCAGTTAGTGGTGGAAAAGCATCAGATGAAGAGATAGAGAATATTTGGAATTTTTTCTAAAGGTTTGCAGACGAGCATGCTCTTAGTAAGATCGAAAAAATAAGAAGCGAAGAGTGTACTCTTAAATATAGGTTAGATGTAATGAGTTGGCTGGGCAGACATGCTGACTTCTTATCATTGCCTGTCATCACTTAGGTTATAATGGCATTCAAGGAATAGGCCACACCTATATAAAATGCTGGAATAAGACAAGCTTACATCTCCGCGACACATGGTTCAGATGCCCTATTTACTATTGTCAAGCTTCTCCGTAATGAGAAAGCTAAGTTAAAGTAAGATAATGAAGAGTCAATGCATAAGCTTGCTATTTTGTTAAGCATTCTAGAACCCTTGATAATAAATGATGAAAATGCAATTAAGGGAAAGGACTGCTAGCTTCTAGAATTGCTGATTGATATGCTTAGTTTTAGTAAAGAAGATCTAGGGTAGATTATGAAGAATCATGGAGCCACTCCACTCTATCTCAAACTTAGCATGAGATGCTTGACAAGTTGTCTGAGGAATGAAGATTATGTGGGTGTATTCTTAAGCAACAGCAAGCATTTGCTTGATCTTCTTGCTCTAATACATATACTTAAAGATGAGGAAGTCGTAGCTAATGGGTGTAAAAGTCTAAGAATATGTCTTAGAGATGAAAAGGTAAAATATATAATACACTTGACGCATTTTTAGAATGTTCAATAAATATCAGTAGAAGGAGAAGAAATTATTAACCAGATGATTGAACTTTTACCTAAGCACACTATAAGTGAGTATGTGAACTAAGAAGCAAGTTCTGTAATAAAATCACTAAACTCATTATCTATTAGGCAATCAGGAATTATGTAAAGAAACAAATCTAGGTAAAGTAGATAAAGCCCAGGAATATAGGTGTGCTAGTAAATGCTACAATAGGTAATTAGTTCTAGAGAGCTAGGAATAATCTAATATTTATATTGAAGGCTTGCTGCACGCTTTTGGAATATAAAAAATATATCGAAGAGTTAGTAGATTAGTAATTAGGAAAAGAGATATTTGGTACAGAGTGATTATTCAGGTTATTATTTTTAAGTAGAATAGAGTCCTTGCATTATTTATTATTTCAATTTACCAAGTTATAAAGAGCCATGGGGTTTTGGGGTTTTGGGGTTTTGGGG